TGCTGAATTCAGTCCAACAAATTAAGTCCCAAACACTTGTTAAAAAAAAAAATCACTAAATTCTATCACGACAACATAAAATATAGCCTAACACTTAGTAAGAGAAAAGTTACGCTGTGAGTGATCTCATCTTATGCTTATTAATTGACCTTCTAAATCCTCTGTATTAATCTTATTCTCCAATTGATATACAGCAGCTGACATTTCCACAACAAACTATGAATATTAACAATTACGACATTAAAAATATCTGTGTGTAAACTGAATGAAGAAGCCAAATATTGTAAAGTTTCAAGTTATTGCCTTCAATAAAAAGCAAGACAAGCCTAAATTATATTTGTTGCTCACAATGAACAGATGAGTTCTCAGTGAGTCTGAACTATTTGGAAATAGATCCCTGAAAAGTCCAATCAATGATCTTATACTGGCCAGATAAACGTGACTGAGGTAGTTCATAATTATTTTGATAAAACAAGAATTCAGTTATGCCCACTGAACTTTTAAATCCAAGATAAAAGTCAAAAAAATTCCAGCCTGATTTCTAAAAACGGAAGTGTATTCTTAAGAAAAAAAACAAAACTATCATGTTCATACTCACCGGAACTTTACTTCCGACTATCTGCATGCAGTGGTCAGCCAAGAGAGGTTATTGTGTAAAAAAGATAATAATAATACATAAATAAACACAGAAAAGTATTTAGTAGGATGTAGTATCACACAAGTTTTTCAGTATTTAACCATTAGCAGTAGTTACATTCTTTTATTACTTTATCAAACTGTTTCAGAGTTACAGCTTCTCAACATGAAAACAGTAGTTCTACTGTAGGAGAAATAGTTTGAAATCCCTATGTTCTGCTGCTGAATCATCAGTATTTTACACATTTACTAACAAGTAACTAAATACCTAGCTTGACATCTACATCTTGCGAGATTAAGAGATATGCCATTTTCTTAAAATTATCAGGTCAGATATTTTATATATGACACTGAGAAAACTACCGGAAAAAACTAATGGCACACCAACTTCCTTGTACATATAACAACTGCATTTATTATGGAGCTTTTGATCTATTTAGATGATGTCATCACTGAATTTCATTAAATATTCATAATCAAAAACATAGCCTGCAGTTATAAATTTAACTTGCATTTCAGAAAAATCTTATGTGGCATTTTTCTTCAACTGCTCAGTATGGATGCTTTTAATTACATGGATAATTAAACTGTGATTTACAGAATGCCATCTTCTCTTTTTACCACGGAACAGCATCTCTGCATGTTCATGAACAAGAAGTTGACTTTACACAGAAGAAACTGTAGAAAGGCAGCACATCTCTGCCCTGTTCTATCACTTTGCACAAATGACCACATTCCTGTGAACACCAGGATAGGGACTTCTGCCTAAATGTTGTAGGCCTTCCCTCGTTAGCCATCTGCTGCAATCTGGTGGCAGCCAGTTTATTGAATAACGACTTTTATCTGATGAAGAGCCTGAGACAGTATGATTTTGTTCTGAGATCTGAATTCAATTGTATCTATTCAGCCTCTACCTGCTTCATTTTCTACTCTTTTCCATTTTCCTTTTAGGAAGTCTTTCAAAAGACAGAAGTCCCTGCAAGTCCGTCACAGTCACCTCTTCTCTCCTCTTCCTGATGAAGCTTCCTCTAGAAGCACAAGATGGACTGTCATCACCAGACAATCTCTTTTCCTAATTTACTACCTTCTTCTCTCACCAGTGTCCAACTTACTCAATGTGGCATGAGATGTCACAAAGTTAAGTTCTGAAACAGAATTTTGAGCCTTCACCATTTCCCCAAGCATAATTTCCATGGTCAACAATCTTTCTCTTCCAGCGAGAGACGGAATCAGAAGCATCAATAATCACATCAGGTGAAAGCATCCAGCTTATTATCCTTCACCTATCCTTCCTCCATCCCCCAAGGAAAGGAAAGCTTTTTTCACCGCTGAAAACCAAGGTTTCTTTCTCTCTCAGAACTCTGAAGCCAGTACAGTGTTTCAAAAAAGCATGGTCAACATGCTGCAGATGGCACACAAGGCAGAGAAAATGAAGCACCAAATTTAAAAATAATTTGGTTAAAACAACATCAGTAAATGAGAGTAATATTTTCAAATGAGTAGAGAGCGCTCAAAAGCCTAACTACGACAAACATGAAACAAACTGGAAGAGAAGTCACATCAGCTGTTAAGTGTTTCGTAAGCTCTGAGCAGAAGAAAAGGCCCAAGTATTTTCAGTATAAAAAAGGAAGACAGATGAGCAATTATTGGTGAACAAAGAAAAAGGTAGAAAATTTTAAGTTCATTTTGAATGCAAATCAGCATTTTCATGGAAGACAAGCCTGAAGATGGCCTGAAGAAAAGGAAGTCTGACAATTCATGATGCAGTGAAGATTGGTAAGGGCTTAAATTCGACTAAGCAGAACAGTCATTTAACTAAACAGAGGACAAAATGAACAGTGAAAATGAGGTTTTGCTTTATTCTAAGATCCCAATCAACACTTTACAATTCAGCTCTACTTTTCATGTTTTTTACATCAGTAAAGATGCTAAATTACATGCTAAAGTGGGGTAACATGCTACAGAAAGGTCATTCATATTTCTGAACAACCTTAAATTATTCCATTCAAATGCTGCGATTCAATTGCAAGAAGGACTTACTGAAGCACACAAACTTCAATACGAGCCCTTCTTCCATTAGACAAAACATTTTGCGTATGTATAAAACATCCATACTGGCGCTGACTTAAGTTCAAAGCGCACATTCCCGTATGAGGACATTTTGGGATTTATTTTTGTTACGTTGTGGTTTTAAATTGTTAGTACATTTCAGCAAACATATCCCCAGTTCTGTTAAGTTTCCTGTGTTAAAGCGCATATGGTGGCAGTAGTGCAATCTGTTAAAATTCTCAGCAGTTATACATGCAACGGTTGTCATGCTTTTCTTACTCAGCTACAAAATTATGGTACTTGAGGCATCTACATTTCAATATCACTATATATAAGAGAGATCATCATCGTTTAACTACTTTTTGGGAAAGAATTGCAAGTACTTCCACTGTGAAAGTTTCTACTGCTTCAGTAGAATATTTTTGCTTACTGAGAAAAATTTAAGATTTCACATTGATCATCAGGTGAAGACAAAACCCTCACAACACATAGTCTATATTTCCCAAAGATAGTCCGGGCAAAGTATATTAAAAAGGAAATTTCATATTATTCACTGCATAAGCTTGAATAACTCTCCAATAACTTGTGTGTTTGGCTAGACCGTGCTTTGAGCACGGGATTCCTTCCGGGACAGACTAAAGGACTGCCGATTTTGGTTAAGATGAACTCAAGCAGGAACATCACTCCTCTCAGAAATGTAAATCACCATCTGCATGTTATACTGCAAGTTTTTCCCCACTTAAGTTTATAACTTTTAATGCAAAGCATTTGCATTTAATAATTGCATGTCATTGCACTCAATTTTTTGAAATTTAACTTTACAGAGATGATTTTAAAGGTTAAAAGAAAACTGAAGTCAACTGCAATGCTTGCAGTCCATGCTTATAGATTCATTAAGCAGACACCATTATATAATCTTATTTGACAGTTTATTTCACTAAGAAACCAATTATTATTTAATGCCATCTGTATTTAGCACTCAGACTCAGCTCTGTAGAACTGCTAGCTGTTCTGCCATTATGTATTTGAACAACTATTCCACGCATAGTCTTCGTGTCCAGTAACCTTTTATTGCACACAGTAACTTAGGTGTGAAAAAAGATGAGATTCATCCTAATTTCCAAATAAAATCATATGTATTACCTAATTTTATTGAAGAACTATGTTGATAGCAAATTTTATCACTTGAAGCATACTACTGCTCCTTGGATACACAAAACTACCCACCACCATCACTCCTCCCCAATACTGCAACACATTCAGTTCCTCGGAATTCACCACTAGCTTCTTTAAAATTCTTTATGTAACAAATAGTGGCACAAATCAGAACAAAACCTATTTCTAGGGAAATGACAGTCTCTCTCTCTGTTTCAGCCAACATTCCTGAATTTTTGTGGCATATTCTCCTTTTACATGGTAAGAACTATATTTGCCATAGTCAATTTTTTACACAGAAAAAGTATTACCTTTGTATTTTATAGCTAATTAGTACTAATAGTCCCACTGCAAAAAATAAATTGCAGCTCTCCACTATTTAAAATTGTGTTTCTCTACCCCAACAAATGTTGGGGCATCCAGTGGTTCTCTTTTGGCACACAGAAAACAGGCAGACTTCAAAAATTCTGCAATGAAGGATCCATCAACTAAGGGTTAATCAATCAACTTAAGTACAGAGAATGACCAACATGAATTAAAGGTCTGAAAATATTTTTTTCTACTCAAAGTATAATTTGAAAATCATCTTAAGACCATCTTTTCACTAAAGGAATCATTTTATTTACCTGCAGAACATTTAGCAGAATATTTAACCCAGTCTTCAAGCCAGCTACACTACTCAGCATATTCAAGTTAAGCTAAAATACTGACTTTATTTCATTTTTAAATAATTTCAATGTTTTGATTCCCTGTTTCTAACACTGCAAACTGTACATCCAGTATGTATGTCATTAATGAAACCATGAAGTCATACTATCCCTTCCATAAAACTTCTCGTTCCAAAAATTTGTCAGGTGAATTCCACATAAATATTGTCAGGTTCCACCCATTACTCTACATCATTGGATTTGCGATTTCTTATGGTTTACAATAAAGCATCAAGTTTTCACATTGCCCAACAACTGAAATACAAACTAACCCTTCAGATGCAGCTGCATTTAAATGTCTATTAGCAAGTACAGATTTGTTTGGGGGTTTTTTCCTACCATTCTTAGAAGGTAAATCCAGCCAAAAAACCTGAAAGTCCCGGACTTGAAAAGTACAACACTGACAAAGCTAAGCTTCTTATTTTCATCTGTCCTGGAGAGTTAACTACTTACAGATTTGGCAGTTGCAGAAATGTACTGGACAACCATCTCACGTTTTGTGGTCAAGTCTTTATCTCTTAGAGGAGCTTTACGTTCTTCATTTAGATTCATGTCTTCCTGTAAAGAAACAGACCACACAACATCAAGATTCTATTTTATGCTTTTTATTAGTCTTGGTTATTTTTATACTCCTTTTCTTAAACAAACAGCTCATTTTTAAACAAACAGACGTGACTTGTTCCAGCTTATCTGCATTTCAGTTTAATTCTGAGCTACCTGATTTTCTCATTTCATTCTGTCACTTCACATGTACACTGTTTTCAAGACAGAACCAAAATTATAATTGCAAAGGTAGTTACCACTAGTGAATTTTGGCTCGAGAAATACAACTAGAGGACAAAACCAAAAAATTCTACACCTTCAAGTTGATTATATAAGTGTTAACTTTTCTGAAGTTCCTGCTTTTTTTATAAAATCTTATCACAACAGACACTGTTCCTCTATTATCTTATCAGGAGGATGTTGTATAGATTATTAGCTTGTAGCAGGGGTAGATGTGAATGTGTTCCAACTGATGTAATTAAAAGAAACCTAAAAACCAAAATATTCTGCTAGATTAAATCTAAAGATGCCTGTTTCAATTTAATATGTAGTCATTACCAGTCATGAATCATCTTGCCATTAAAAGTCAAAGCAACTTCAGGTTAGCCACTAAGACCAGTAAACATTACTGTAATAACTTACTAGGTAACAGCTTTTCCAAGGAATTATTAGTCTCTGGAAGACAGACCTATTGTCTGCTTCAATTAACTTTACTTGGAAAAGTGAAAAATTAATCCCTTAATCTAATAAGCAAATCAAGGAAGTATTAATTAACACTTATCCAATCTTTCAGAAAAGATTCACAACTCTACACATGTAGAGCTATACAACAGGACAGTTCTTAGACCATTCTGACTGCACGGAAGTTTACAACAATTTCAAATAATGATATAGAAAACATTATTTCCAACAATACTCAAAATAATGCATTTCCTTATACTTCATTGACCAACACCAATGTGCATAGCAGAATTAATGCACACCGACTTGTTTGTTTCTGCATGGCTAACAGAAAAGCTTGCTTGTGAGGGAAATCACAAACCTTACCAAGTCATCCTAAGACAGAAAATATTCAAGACCATACAAAAATTCAGCTTCCTATACATTAAGATTTTATTAATGGAAGTTATTGTTTTCCACAGGTATTGACTTAAGTTTATTAAAAACTATCCTTCAAAAGCAGTATCTAACTACTGCAACTATGGTCTATAGAGGCTATCTTAATGAAGCATTCAACAGCTTAAAATTTTTATTTTTGGCTTTTTGCCTTAGTTTTCTCTGTCAAAGTATACCAAGTAATTTAAACATTATTTTATTATTTTATTTTTATTTTATTTCCTATAGATATATTTATTTTATTGTAACAATCATTTGTTTAATAAATATGAATTAACTTATTATTTATTAATATAAACATTATATTATGAAAAATAAATAATACTAGCATTGCATGAGTTACTCAATGTGCCAATTTTGACAGGTCTATCAGGCCTATGCTATACCCTCCCAAGTAGCTAATACTTCCCAAATAACATCTGAAAATCACTACTACATAATAAATGGCAACATGAAAACAAATTAAAACCTTGTAAAATGATGTAGCACATCATCTTACCATCATTTTTTCAAAGAGATCCATAACTTCTTTTTCTGATAAGTTCATGCAACGCTCATCAACAAGTGCCTGGGCAAGCGGGATTTCACTTATAGAAGGTTGAGAGTCAATAGGATGCTGAATGAGAGGTTTCTCTTTTTTCACTGCTGATTTTCTGAAGCTTGTTATTCTGTCACGCTGCAAAGACATCCGTTTAAAAATAAGCAGAGATAGAAATATAAAAAAGCAGCCAATTACCTGGCACTAATACACACATTTTTAGTTAATCCAAGCAGCAGAGTTAAAACTCAAACTGAACTGTAAGTAAAATACTCTTAAGATTCAGAGATTACTTTTCATAGAAAGACAACAACATTTAAGGTAAATTCATGGCAAGTGACATGCAAAAAGGGATTTAACTATGTCTCACAGTTTCAAAAGTATACCATCTATGTTAAACTCTTAGCATTTCAAAACCTTGAGTTCATCTTCTCACATTACTCCCTAATTATCCTGATAGTGAATAAATATGGTACCACAAAGGTAATGTCCAAGCGTTCCTTCACCTGAAGAGCTATAAGTCTTTGGAGGACAACTGAAAAAGCCAGCGTTGGGAAGGAGGTACTCACAAGTTCATCAGGCTTATAAAAAAATCCTGCTAAAGTAAAATAAAGTTTGTAGAGGAATTAATGCTCCAAGTATAGTTCACAAATCCTTGAAGTGTTTTTGAGTACGAACTCCTGAAATTAGTGCATAATTTTAAAAAGCCAGGTAATGGATTACTCGCACAGAAGCAGCCACCCAGAGTTAAAAACACATAACAGACATTAGTGAAAGCATATCATACAGTCTGCAATGACATTTCACTGGTTAAGGCTGACTTGTTTTATACCTTATACCAAACCCCCCACCATTTTTTTCTTTTTCAAAGCATGCTTACTCAGTTAATTTGTTAATATTGGGAAAAAACCAACAAGAGCACCTTCCTTATAAGGCCATTAATTACTGTTTTATTAATATATAACTATTTTGAATACATTCAGATTTTTTTTTATTTATAATACTGTCTATATATACACACATACTCATTTTGAGAATGTTATGTCTGTGGAGACTTTTCTAAATTAACTGTTTGCTTCAACAAATACTGTGTATTTGTTTCAGGCATTGAACAGCCTTATGAAGATGTGCTTTCATCTAACAGCAGCTTATGTAGGGTTACCAGTATCATTCAGAGAAGTTACTGCAATCTCTATGAAGACATGTAAACCAAAATTTAGATTTTCTATAATCAAACTACATCTGCGAGGTGTGAAAAGTTTAATGGAGCATTTCATTTGCAGGAAATTTGGATGCATTTTAGATTAGTCCAGTCAGGAGTGAAGAAATTTGACCAAGTGCTGGGGAATATGAGGAAGAAAGAATCTTTCTTTTTTTGTTGTTGTTTTGTTTCTTTTTCTTGGTTTGTTTTGGTTTTGGTTTTTGAAATCCTACAAGAATACCATAATTTTTTGAAGAGAAGGTATCCCTAGATAAGCTGCATGCCCTTTGAATTTCTCTGGAAGTTTTTTTTTCTTTGTTTGTTTGCGTTTTTGAGGGGAGGGGGGTTGGCTTTGGGTTTTCTTCTGCCTTAGAAGTCTTACATTTGTGGACAGAAACACGTTACCTACAAGGATACTGCTAACGTCTTGAACAAGGCAAGAATTTTACTTTAATCCCATTTTTTCCTTATTAAAATAATTTATATACATTTTTTTAAACTAAAATTAGGGCATACCCTATTGAGAAGACCAAAGATATCACACAACGCCTGAAAGGCAATATTAGCCGATATACAATTGCAGTTCTACTGTTCACTTAGATTAAAATGCCTATTCAGCATTGACCAAAAAAGCGCCATTTAAGACCAATTTCAGCATACCGTGACCAGTTTCAGGTATACCTTATCAATGACAAATTTGTTTAATCAGATTCCAATAGCAAGATCTCTTTAAAGCTATAAATGAATTTTCTACATGATTACGAGGTACAATTTCTTCATTTCAGACATATAAGTGATGATTAACTAAGTGGCCAGTGTGGCTTCACTGTTATATATAGAAGATAAAAGTTTGTAATTTTACTGAAACCAATTTCGATGTAAGTTTCTGTAAAAATACTTTGCAACAGGTTCCAAAGTATTCAGAATTATAAAGCTAGTGCTACTGAATACAAACTTCTTGTTTGACATACAGTACACAATTACCACCCAAAATGGTTCCACTTGAACTATGTGGCAACTAACTTTGAAGAATCACTGCAAATCCCTTCATGTGAAAAAGGAGGTCAAGAGAAATAACACTTGAACTGTTGAATCACAGTTTCAACATATCCCCAGTATTACTACAGTGTTTCGAACGGTTAAAGTGCTTCTCCAAATAGATGTCATTAATTGCTCATCAACTGAAGTTACAAACGAAGATCTTTTAAGAATAGTAATTCAGTTTTCTGAAATGTAATGCTTAATATCCTTATAAGAACATGTGACATTGTCCACAACATTTGAAGTAAAATAGCATGCAGCGTGGAGTTACCATTGCAAATTAAGATGTTACAAAGACCTTACCACATCATCTGCCAAAGTTTTTATTTGAATATTCTATTAAGAAAAAAACACACACAGAGATCAAAGAAAAAACAGTATTACCTACTGTTTCAAGAATCAAGAAGTCTGTATTTCATGTATTCTAACTTTAAACAGCACTGGAAATTTCAGTAAGTGTTCTAACAAAACTGCAGCTAAATGAGCATGGAAACTACTCTATTTTATGTGAAAAAGTAGGCTTGCATCCCATTTCACCTTGTCTTTTGACTATTTAACTCATGAACCTGAAACTTCATAGCTCTAGCACACCCACTATTTCACAAAAGTGCAGTAAGATCTCTCAGAAAGCTTTCCAAAACAAACATGGACTACTGGACTTTAAACCTAGTCAGCAGAGAGCTATATGACATTCTCACTTTTGACAGAGTTTTTGAGACTCAGAGAGTTGAGGAGAGTTTCCTGTGCCCTACCTTCTTGAGCCTTCTGCCAGTCTCTCCTTAATACTAAGTAATGTAAATTGATAGATGGACCGGCTAAAGCCAGTCTACTGATGATGCACAAACCAGTCATTCTCCCTCTCTAGTACCTTCTCACTTTTTCCTTAACAGCAGTAAAATCCTGCTGACAAAGATCACCAACATTACATTTTTATTCATGGCCAAAAAAGCAATCTATATTACATACCAATATCACATCAAGAAAGCATTTGGTTAACAAACATTATTCATGACTGTTTGGTGTAAATTGAGCAGGCAACTAAGGTCTAGAACTTTGCAGGGTGGGGAGGATCAGAGACAAAAAGAACTGTTGTATATGAAGAAGGGTGGTAGTTGATCTGTAATGACACAGCCCTGCAAGTCACTGGTTAGGAAACAGCAACCCTATTTTCTTGGGCAGCAAGGTTTCAGATTCCTCATTTATGCTCTCACCAGCCAAAATGATCAAGGTGCTTCTAATCAACAACCCATACCCCTGGTAGGAGTTCAAATGTTATTGGAAATGAAGTTATAACTGTTCAACATACACCACACAACATTTTACTTCCCTTTAGTGGAAGATACTAATACACCATGCTCCTTCTAATTCTACTTTCTGTCTCTTGGCTACAATTGTCAATATTGTATTGCTGAAACAAAAAAATTTTCAAGACTATACAAGCAGAGGAGGAGGCATCAAGGTGGGAAGGAGGGGCAATGTGTTCATACTTCAGGAGTGTAGTGAAGATAAGTATTCAGAGGTATCCAGGACAGTGTGGCAGATTGACCCTGGCTGGCAGGTCAGTTCCCACCCAGCCACTTGCTCATTCCCACACCCCCAGCAGGATCAGGGAAAGAATCCGAAGTGCAAAAGGAAGAAAAGACTCACAGGTGGAGATAAAAACTGTTATCAAGTGAAGGGAAAAAAACCAGTAAAAATAAAGAAACACATTATGCAAAAGCCATCACTCATCACCAACAGACTGATACCTACACAGTCTCTGAGCAACTACTACTTTGGAAAAAACTCCTCCACCCCACTACCCCTGGTTTTATGGCTGAGCATGACGTTACATGGTCCGGAGCATCTCTCTGGTCAGTTCAGATGGGCTGTCCTGGCTGTGTCCCCATCCAACCTCCAGCCCACCCCATCCTACTCCTGGGCGGGGCACACTGAGAAACCGTAAGCCTTGACACAGGGTAAGCACTGATTAACACTGGTGTTTTATCAACACTGTTTTAGTCACAAATCTAAAAGACAGCACCGTATTGGCAGCTATGAAGAAAACTAACTCCATCTCAGCCTGACCCAGTACAGATAACTAGGATAAAATCTTTCTCTCTTACTACCGCAGATGATGACACCAACTTTTCACCTTCCTAACCACCGAATCTCAAACTTCTTCCCTACAGCTACATCTCTCCTGTATTTTTGTTACCTGGACTTAGTATGGAGTTAAAAGAGGAAGTAATACTCTAATCTTGAAATCAAAACGAAGATATCCTTACTCTGGTAAATATATATTTTATTTTTAATGGAGATTATTGAGCAAGAAATCCAAATGAAGTAAAGCCTAACTATGACTTCAACCCAGAGTAAGCTGCATAAGCAAGAAGTTCTAAAACTCTGTATTCATTTTAACAGTCACTTGTAGTAGAAATCTTTTCTTTCCCCCTTCTCATTTAAGTACTGCCAATCTCTCCTAGAACGTGCAACAGAATAATCTACTCCATCTCTACATTTATATTGCATTTGTCACTCAAACTTCTCTGGGCAAAATACAGAATACTAAAGCAAGATACCACACAGCATTTTTTCAGACATCTCAAGCTCACTTCCCGGATCTCCTTATGGTGCATAAGCTACACTGCTGCCAGTAGCTACTCAAGATAAGAAACACATTTAACAGGTAGAAGAGAAAGTACAAGCAGCTGGAGGCAGAGGCAAGGTAGTTATGTACCTGCAGGTTCTCACTGACACACAATTTTGACAGTCTCTTATACTAACAAAGAAATCACACTTCCAGTCTGATTGAACAACA